TTGCCAACAGTAGCTCAAGTGCGTCTCATTCCGACCCAAAAGTCCAGCTTCACCCTACAATACATTCCTATGTATCTCTGCCTCCATAAGCCTACTCAACACACCAACCCAAAGTGGCCCTTAGTTGAAAACTGCCACTTTAGGCCCTAGAGCCCCACTTTTGTCTCCATTTCCCTGCAACAAGTGTATTTCGATGCTTATTCTTGGTGCTATGAAAAAGACAAGGACATATAGATTAAAAGCGCTGCGGCCGGCTCCGCATTTCTTTTTTTCTACGTCATGAGTTGGTCTAGAAGTCTTTAAGAATTCCTAAGCAAGTGTACGGTGGCTCAGGATTTACTAGAGCGAGATTTTTTTGGGAAATTTGGAGGGTGAAGGCAAGGAGGAACGTAAATAACAACTGTTGGGTTGAGTAGGGTCGTCGTAGAGGCCCTGGTGAGAGCAGTCGTGCTTAAAGACCAATACTGCTCACCCCTACCCCATTTACGCTGACGTACCCTATGTATGGGTAGCCAATAACTTGAGATGATAATGCTGGTTAGTCTCATAAATTGCCCAGAGACTGGAACATATGCTCTTTTAGTTTTTTTTTCTAACATTTCGTCCAGTCTGCTTTCACTTATCAGCATAGACTGGTTTTTCAGCCCTTTAAGGCTGGCACGTGCTCGAACGCTTCGATTAGCAGACACCGGCGCCGATTTTTTTTCTTATGCCTGCATTTGTGATGTCATTTGCTTGCTGAACGTCGTCCAGCCTATCGTTATCTTGCCGTCGCTGTTTTCTGATTCATAATTCGACATTGTGATTATCGCTTTTTTACTAGCTAGTTACGACTTGTTTATTGACTACGGAAATAATAAATATGTGAGTCATTTGCTAGCAAGGTTCTGCAACGCCTTAGAACAATGTTGCTTCAAGACAGCCTCAAAGACCAGTCAGCAATTCCTTGCTTACCCAAGGTAATCCTGTCCGCAGTTGCAAAGGCTGTGTCATTTTCGCGGATTGAAAGTGAGGCGTCTAGGAGACTGTCACAAAGGTCAGGTCCCTCCCACAGAGGTCAAGCTCCTCCCCTATCACTTCACAGTCACTTGGCGATGGTTCGATATCGTTCGTTTTTGCACTCGCTTGCCTCGCCAGCAGCTGTTTCCTATTTGCCGCGCGAATTCTCCTCGCCTACTGGGGCATGCCGTCTGGGAGAATTTTCCGAATGCGATCCTCGAGTTTCCTCCTCCGACGGGACTCCGTCTTGTATGTTACCTACGCTCCTACCTAATTTTCCCAGTATTTAGTAGTCGAGCTAGTGGAGTTTGAGACACCTCCGATCAACTATCAGAAATACAATTGCGGCGCAGTCGAGTAAGACTTGGGTAGAGTATACAGGGGTGGCCAAAAAAAAAAAGTCACTTTGACCAAGTCACATA